ATTGGCTCGCCAACTAGGTATGACAGTTCTCTACACCTCTCCATTTGCTGATAGGGTGGCGGATGGTAACCATATTGAATGTGAAAGTATTTGTAAAAACGGAAAGCTGGTAATCCAAGACCACACTTTCATAGTGGACCTACATCAATTGGATTTCAGCAGGGCAGATGTAGTGTTGGGTGTACAATGGCTAAGCCAATTGGGCCCGGTCCTTTGTGATTGGGGACACATGACCATGGACTTCTATTGCGATGGTCTCCGCTGCCATCAGGTCAAGAGATACCCGACCCACTAGTGGAAGGTCTACAGTCCATGATTAAGGGGGGTTTTGGGAAGGAACACTTGCTGCTGATGCATATGGGCCCAATGCCTATTGGGCCTTTACTAAGGCTAGATAATGAAGTCCAACCATCTGAGAAGGACCAAGATGATATACAAAGGGTGATAGGCCAATTCCTAGATGTCTTTAGAGACCTAGACCAGCTTCCCCCAACTCGGTTCTAGGACCATTGCATCCTCCTAACTCCAGGGGCAGCCCCTACAAACGTGTGGCCCTACAGATACCCACACTTCCAAAAGACTGAGATTGAGAGGCTTGTGAAGGAGCTCCTGCACAAGGGATGGATACAGCCTAGTACAAGTTTGTTCTCGTCCCTAGTACTCCTTGTTAAAAAGAAAGATGAGTCTTGGCGTTTTTGTGTAGATTACCAGGCACTAAATAATATCATAGTCAAGGATAAGTTCTCGATCCCGGTTGTGGACGAGCTATTAGATGAGCTGGGGAAAGCCAAGTATTTCTCCAAAATGGACCTCCGATCCGGCTATCACGAAGTCCGGGCCCACCCTGAAGATGTGTACAAAACGGCCTTCAGAACCCATGATGGACACTATGAGTTCCTAGTTATGCCGTTTGGGCTGTCCAACACCCCTTCCACCTTCCAGGCCATTATGAATGATGTCTTCAAACCCTATCTCCGATGTTTTATTTTGTTCTTCTTTGACGACATTCTGGTATACAACAAGGATTGGGATTCACACCTCCAACACTTGGAACAAACATTGAGCTTGCTGAAACAACACCAATTGTTTGCCAAACTTTCGAAGTGTGTTTTTGGACAGACTGAAGTCCATTATTTGGGCCATGTGGTTGCAGCTGGATGGGTCATGGTTGACCCAGAGAAAATAATTTGTATACCAGACAGGCCCATGCCCAAGACAGTCAAAGCCCTGCACGGATTTTTGGGTCTTATTGGCTACTATCGGAGGTTCATATGCAATTATGGGTTGCTAGCAGCCCCACTAACTGGGCTTCTCAAAAAAGACTGCTTCGTTTGGACGGAGCAGGTCCAGCAGGCTTTTGATTCCCTTAAGCAGGCCATGACTAGCCCACCAGTCCTAACCTTACCGAATTTCGAGGAGACCTTCGTGGTTGAATGTGATGCATCCGGTATAGGGCTTGGAGCGGTGCTCATGCAAAACGGGAGGCCCATATCTTACTTCAGCAAGGTCCTCTCCACTAGAGCCTAGAACCAGTCCACATACACAAAGGAGCTTATGGCAATAGTGCTGGTGGTCCATAAATGGCGACCATACTTGTTGGGTCAAAGGTTCATAATCCGAACTGATCAGAGAAGCTTAAAGTTTGTACTGGAACAAAAAGCCCTCACCCCAAATCAGCAAAAGTGGGTAATGAAGTTAATGGGCTTTGATTTTTTTATCGAATACAATCCTAGAGCCACCAACCGGGCTGCGGATGCATTGTCACGGAAGGCTGAGTTGTCCTTGTTAGTAAACTCTCAGCCCCATTACCCCCTATTTGAAGCTTTGCAAGAGGAGGCCGGAAGCGACCCCAGCCTTGAAAAGGTGCGGCAAAGCTATTTGCAAGACCCCACCTCTACACCGGGGTACACCATGAAGGGACCAGACTTGTTTTCTAATGGGAGATTTGTTCTCTCTCCTACTTCCGCGCATCAGAAAACCTTGCTAGAACTCTATCATGATTCGGTGTTGGGAGGGCATCCAGGTATTTTTCGGACTTATAAGAGGCTCTCATCACATTTTTATTGGCCCAACATGAAAAAGGCAGTGGAGCAGCACATAACACAGTGTACAGTATGCCAGCAACAAAAGTACTCGGCCCAATCCCCTCCTGGGCTCCTGCAACCCCTTCCCATCCCATCACAAATATGGGAAGATATACCCCTGGACTTCATCACTAGCCTTCCACCCTCTAGGGGCAAGATGGTGATTATGGTGGTGGTCAACAGGCTCTCCAAGTATGGGCACTTCATCGCCCTGTCACATCCCTACACCACTGCTTCAGTAGCTGAAACTTTCATCAAAGAAGTGGCAAGACTCCATGGTACCCCCAAATCGATCATTTCGGATCGGAATCCGGCCTTCCTCAGCCAGTTCTGGAAGGAATATTTCCGTTTACAGGAGGCAGTTCCAGGCCCAAACATTGGAAACTTACCTACGTTGTTTTGTGGGTTCCAGGCCCAAACATTGGACGAAGTGGCTCCCTGAGTACTGGTACAACACTACATTCCAGGCGGCAGCGGGAATGACACCATTCAAATCAGTATATCAAAGAGAACCACCACCTATCCTTCCGTATGAACTGGGTTCAACCGCAGTAGCAGAAGTCGAGGTCCAGTTGTTGGCACGAGACGAAGTGCTCAGCCTCCTGAAGGAGAACTTACACAAGGTCCAACAACTCATGAAGAAGCAGTATGACAAAAAGCAAAGGGCTGTTGGCTTTCAGGTTGGGGACTACATCTACCTCAAGCTGCAACCCTATCGACAGTCCTCAGTAGCAAAAAGGGCCTGTTATACTACTTTGGGCTGTTCAAGATAATTGAAAAGATGGGCAATGTTGCTGATGTGGGCGCCGGCAGCAGCAGCAGTAATTTAGTGCAGCAACAGCAGTAATTTAGTGTTCTCAGCAGCAGCAATTTAGTGTTCTCATCCTATCTTATCTATTCAGTATTCTTAGCTTATCTGCTTTTAGTAGCAGGGATAAGTAGGAGTCTTATCTATTCAGTTATCTTATCTTATCAGTTCAGTAGGATAGATTAAGGGAGTCTTGTCTTATCTAATTACAGTTCTTATCTTATCTTATCTTATCAGTTCAGTAGG